TGCATTACATCATGTATGTGACAACGTACTCTCCCCTCCCGACACTGTCATCTTTGTCACGAATCCCTCACTCTGTGATATGTTTTCAAGAATTGTATATGTGTGTGTGTGTAGGATGTCTGCATCTGAAGTGAACTGGGCAAAATATTTTTTAAAAAGGGTAAAATAATGAAAGAAGAAATATAGTTATGAAAATATTTTAAAATGTGATATGGTAATGCAGATGCTTAATCTCTGCTTTAAGTAGCAGATCTGGGCACAGGTGTGATAATAGCAGTAATTTCACAATAACGATGAGCATAGAGGGTACTTCTGAGACACCCGCAGGAACTGTGTGATACAAGAACATGTCAATGCTGTGGCTGACAAAGTCACAGCGGCTGCTAATACTATTTTAGTTTGCTACCTTTGTTTATAGTGAAACGCGAAATTTCTGTTAGAGATGGGGGAAATAAAGATGTAACTTTCCCCTTAAGTTCCTGGACCCTTTAAATAGTACATATGGACTCCTAGGTTAAGAACATCTGGATTAAAGACTTGCGATTTGACCACTAACTGTTATATGTTGCCACTGAATGGAATGGATCTTGTTTTAAAGACAGCAAACCTGTAAATATGAAAATATTCATGGGAAACAAACAAGGAAATTCGGAGTGAGTCTTATGTGAATTTAGGGAATTGCTGTGTTGGGTATTTTGATGGCAGGGGAATGTCTATTTTGGAAACACATAAACAAAACCATTCCTAACTGGCTGCGGCCATCTGGGGAGTGAACCAGAGGGTGGAAGAGCTTTCTTTTTTTCTCTCTGCCTTTCAAGTACATAAATAAATCTTTTTTTTTTTTTTTTGACAGGCAGAGTGTACAGTGAGAGAGAGAGAAAAGTCTTCCTTTGCCGTTGGTTCACCCTCCAATGGCCGCCGTGGCCGGCGCACCGTGCTGATCCGAAGGCAGGAGCCAGGTGCTTCTCCTGGTCTCCCGTGGGGTGCGGGGCCCAAGCACTTGGGCCATCCTCCACTGCACTCCCAGGCCACAGCAGAGAGCTGGCCTGGAAGAGGAGCAACCGGGACAGAATCCGGCGCCCCAACAGGGACTAGAACCCGGTGTGGCGGCGCCGCAAGGCGGAGGATTAGCCTAGTGAGCCGCAGCGCCAGCCAATAAATAAATCTTAAAAAAAAAAAAAAAATGAAGAAGACGACATGGGGGCAGCGCTGTGGCGTAGCCAGTAAAACTGCCACCTGCAGTGTCGGCATCCCATATGGGCGCTGGTTCGAGTCCCAGCCCGGCTGCTCCACTTCCAAACATCCAGCTCTCTGCTATGGCCTGGGAAAGCAGTGGAAGATGGCCCAAGTGCTCGGGCCCCTGCACCCACGTGGGAGACCCGGAGGAAGCTCCTGGCTCCTGGCTTCAGATCGGCCCAGCTCCGACCGTTGTGGCCAATTGGGGAGTGAACCAGAGGATGGAGGACCTCTCTCTCTCTGGCTCTCTCTCTCTCTCTCTCTCTCTGCCTCTCCTTTCTGTGTAACTCTGACTTTCAAGTAAATACATAAATCTTTAAAACAAAAAGACATTAGGCATGAAAGATCACACTCACACACAATACACACACATACATCTGGGTATCTGTAAGACAAATATGGGAAAATGATCCCCAATGTTGACTCAAGATGATAGATATTAGTCTTTTGTCTTATCTGTATGCTTGGAATATTCATAATAAAATCTAAAATAGCTGACTTTAAAATATTTGTATTGGGATAGGCTGTACAACGTTTTACTCTTAGCCTGCAGTTGGATGGATTTTTGTGTATGTGAAACCCATGTAACGGCTCGGATCACCATGTCCGTCATTTCCAGCACCCCAAACTTCCCTCGCGCCCCACGCACTCAACGCCCTGATTCCTAATGCCAGTGATAAAGTGCGTGTTCTTTTGTGCCCGGTTTGTGTGAGCGTGTGTGTGCACACACAGCATGACTTCCTGTTCCACAAAGATGAGTTTTTAGAGACTGATAACACCACGTTTGGCCAAGAATGTGGGAAAACAGGCCTTGGCTTACACTGCTGGCTAACCTGAGGGTGCCTTTCGTAAGGCAATTTAAAATGCCCACATCCTTTGAACTGGTAACTCCATATCTCGATTCCTGAAAACACGAAAGGAACACACACAAAGATTTAGGTTCAAAGACTTAACTATCTAACAGTGAAAAGCTGAAAGCCGCCTACATGTCTGGCAATGGAGGTAGAGCGAGATAAATGATGGGATGTTTGTAGCAGACGTGTCAGGAGCCATCGGCAATGTGAGACTGACCTGAGACAGAGCCCTGGCCCTAATGCCCTTAAGCCTTGATCAGGCCCTGCCTGGTTTCTTTCCTTAGTTTGCAGTTCCTGTCTCCACTTGGGTGAGCCCGAGTCAACTCCTCTCTAAAGATGACTTCACGGCAGTAAGGCAGTGGCGCGTGGGTCAGGCGACAGGACTCAGAACTCAACCATGAGCTCCGCGGTCCACATCATACTGCTGGATTCCGTCCTGAGACGCCTCCGAAGAGCCCAGCTCCTGATCAAAGAAAGTAGGAGCTAACCCGCCCACGGGCCCCAGACGCACTGGAGCCCACGTTGCCATCACAGCATTTGGAAAGAAAACACTGCCAGGTTTCCTATCGCAGACGGGGGCGAGGAAGGCCCAGCCAGAGAGCTCCACAGGAGCGGGTCACGTGCTGTTGTCAGGGTTCTGATCTACAGGACGCCCACCCTTAATCCCTCCAGGAGCCCAGCTGCCCAGCTACTCAGTGACGGGGTGCATGGACCCCGGTGTGGGGCTTCTGCAACAGACCTGTCTGTGATTTGAATGCTGTCCAGGCCACACCATGAAATCAAGAAGGTGCACTAGGCATGCACTGTCCGCTGGTGGTTTTACAAGAACAGCGGAAACAGACAAGCACCCAAGCCCAGCAGAGGGGACATCAGGGGGACATTACAGGCTTCCTCGGGTTTTGCTCCAATTTCGGAATTGCTGCCTCACGGACAACACACCTGTCCATGTCTGAACATTGTCTGCATAACTAGAACATAAAGACGCAGTGGGTGTGTGGTGCAGTGGGTGAAGCCAACCCTTGGGACACTCACATCCCACATTTGAGTGCCTGGTTCTAGTCCTGGCTTTTTATTTTTTCATTACTGTTTGAAAGGCAGAGTTACGGGGAGAGGAGGGACAGAGAGAGAGACAGGGAAAGCCTCCATCTGCTGGTTCATTCCCCAAATGGCAGGCATTGAGCCAGGCTAAAGCCAGGAGCTTCTTCCAGGTCTCCCACGTGGGTGCAGGGGGCCCAAAGACCTGGGCCGTCTTCTGCTGCTTTCCCAGGCACATTAGCAGGGAGCTGCATTGGAAGTGGAGCAGCTGGGGCTCAAACCCGCGCCCCTATGGGATACAGGTGGCAGCTTCAACTGCTGTGCCCCAGCGCCAGAGGCTCCTAGTCCTGGCTTCTGATCCACCTTCCCGCCATGGCAGCCTGGAGGAAGAGGAAGAGGGCTCACCTGCTTGGGCCCCTGCCACCCAAGCGGGAGACCTGGATGGAGTTTTTGGCTCCTGGCTTTTATCTGGCCCAGCTCTGGCTCTTGTGGATTTCTGGAAAGTGACCCAGCCGACGGAAGATTCTCTCTCTCCCCCCATTTGTGACTCTGCGTTTCAAGTAAATAATCTTTTAAAAAGTAGTATGTAGGGGCTGGCTCTGTAGCATAGGGGGCACTGGCATCCCACATGGGCGAGACCCCGCTGCTCCACCTCCGATCCAGCTCTCTGCTATGGCCTGGGAGAGCAGCAGAAGATGGCCCAAGTGCTTGGGCCCCTGCACCTACGTGGGAGACCTGGAAGAAGCTCCTGGCTCCGGATCAGTCCAGCTCTTGGCTGTTGTGGCCAATTGGGGAGGGAACCAGCGGGTGGAAGCTCGCTCTCTCTCTCCACCTCTCTAACTCTGCCTTTCAAATAAATAAATCTTTAAAAAAAACCCAATATATAAGTACTTTATATTGTAAACAATGTTTTTTAAAAAGTCCTATAGGGTCTAGTTTTGGTGGGGCTGGGGCCATGGAGAGCCCTCGCTGCTTCCGTCCGTGCCCTGAGGGGCAGTGGAGGAAAGCTGAGCTGGTGTTGGTTCAGAGCGAACGAGGAAGACACCTTCTGGGTTGTCGCAGGTAAAAGCAGGGGCTGTTACATGGAGGCTGGAGTCACAGCAATGGCGCTGCGTCCAGAATTGGCGCGCGGAGGATTTGCAAACCTTGCACGGCGGGTGGGCTGGGGGCCGCTGCGGGGACCTGAGCCCCCGGCTAAGCGCTCCGCCCAAGACCACCAGCCCCCCACCCCCACCCTGCGCCCCAAGACCACCAGCCCCTCACCCCCGCCCTGCATCTCCCTCCTTAGTTCCGCAGGGCGCGGCCCGGCGAGCAGCGAAGGTAGAAACGGGAGTCCAACAATGGCCCTCGGTCCCGTCCACCCAACAAGCCGGCCACGACCCTGCCCCACCAGGAAGCTTCCAGACGTCGACCATTTCCCGAGCCCCGGGTGCCCCTCATCTTTGCGGCCTTGGCTTTGCTGAGGGGAACTCCGCAAGCAGTGCGATTCCCACTCTTCCACCGCGGCTGGGCCCCCCGAACCGCAATCCCAGCTCTCACAACCCACAAAACCAGCCCCAGCCGTGAGCCACCCGCGCCGACGGCGCGCGGGCGCCCACGCCGGGTGGGGGAGGGGCGCCTCGTTCCCGCCCCCGCCCCGCGGCGGCGCCCGCCCCGCCGGAACTACAAGTCCCGGCATGCCCCGCGGCGGCGCGGGCGCAGCGGCGCGTGCGCGGCGGCCGGCAGTTGGCTGGCGCGACGCCTGCGCGGGTCGCGGGGCGGTGAGGTGTGCGGACGCTGGCAAATCGGGCCCAGGATGTAGAGCCGGCGGTTCCTGACGGCGCGTCTGACGCTGAGTTGGGTGGGGTAGAGAGTAGGGGGCGGTAGTCGGGGGTGGTGGGAGAAGGAGGAGGCGGCGAATCACTTATAAATGGCGCCCAAGCAGGACCCAAAGCCTAAATTCCAGGAGGGTAAGTGTGCGCCTTTGAGGGGAAGGCGCCTAACGGCCCGGGGAGGCAGGCGGCGCGGGGTGGTGGCGGCCCGCGGGCCGGGGCGGGGGGCTGAGCTTTGTGCGGGGAAGCGCATTGCGCACGGTGGCCCCGGGCGGCCCGAGGGGAAGGGCTTTGTGCGGCGGAGGCGCCGAGGCGGGCGTCGGGGCGGCGGGAGGCGCGCCCGGCGCGGGGCAGAGCCTCGGCCGAGCGTTTGTTATTGTTTGGAGGAGGAGGGCGCGGGCGAGGCAGCCCATTGTGGGGCGGCGGCGCGCCATGGCGGCCGTTAGGGGAAGTGATGTGGCGTGGGGGAGGCGGCGGCGGCGGCGCGGGCGACGGGCCCGCGGCCGCGGTGGCGGGAACCGGCCGGCGGAGCGTGGCCGCCGGCAGCCCCGGGGTGGTCGGCGTTGGGCCGGGACGCGGAGCTGCGGCTGAGGGGGGTGTGGGGGTGCGGGTGGGGGATGGGCGCGGCGCCCCGGGGCGGGAGAACTGCGTTGTAAAATGGCCGCCGCAAGATGGCCGCCGGCGTCGGCGTGGGCCGCGGCCCCGGTGCGGGGCGGGCGCAGCGCCCCCTGGCTCGGCGTCCGCGCGGGGAGGCCCGAGCCCCGCGCTCACCTCGGAGCGGCGGGTGGGGGGCGCGGAGGGGGAGAAAAACAAGGCCGGAGCGAGCTGGGCGCTCGGGGCGGCTTTGTGTGGCCTGCGGGCATCGCTGGCTCCGCCCAGGGGCGGGGCCCGGGGTGCGCGTGCGCCGTGCGGCGGCTCGTGTGCCGCGCAGAGAAACGGGCTTTGGTGCGGCCGCGGACTGTGGGTGACCCGCGGCCATAAAACCTGATGAAGTGACTCGACGGAGAATTTGTATTGATTTTTTTTTTTTTTTTTTTTATGGGCGAGCGTTTCGGCCGACTTGGGCGAATGGCGGCCCTGGCCTTCGGCGCCCGTGGAGTGTGTATGAGGCTGTCTGTGTTTGCGCGGGTCGCGGGCCGGTGAGGTCTGGGCGAGGAGGAACTGCCCATTTCCTTTCGTGCCAGGGAGATGGGTGCTGAGTACCTCCGATGCCCTGTCCGACGTGCGCGCGGCCTGTGTGGGGGCTTTTCAGGTTGAATGCGTGCAGCTAGGAGAACTTTAAAGACGGAGCCCCAGTGTGCCGTGACTTCAGTGGGATGTGAGAGGGCTCTCCCGGGGTCCCGGGGTACTGTGGGTGATGAGCGCCTCCCGCCTCCCGCTGGGATGCCTGTGGCTGTGTCCTCTGGAGTCGTGATTTTGCTAGGTGTTCAGAACAGGGGTCGATGGATGTCGTTCAGAAAGCCCGTGAGCCTGGCGGGGCACAAAACTTTTTTCTATCAAGGCTGAAACTAGCTATTGCGGATATTAATGGAAACGCTCTCCCTCAACAGCTGAACGCCTCGTTGTAGCAGTGTACTTTTTATATCCCAGCTTTGTGTGGAAGATACAGACCCTGTTTTACGTGTTTGTAGAAATGGAAGAAACTATAGGCTCCGATGTAGGAACAACTCTGCAGCACTTTTTTTTTTTTTTTTTAAAGAGTTATGGAGCTGGTGCACTCGCTAGATGGCCCCACCAGCCCAGGCCAGGCGCTTCATCTGGGTCTCCCACGTTGTGTGGGGCCCAGGCACTTGGGCCATCTTCTGCTTTCCCAGGTGCCATAGCAGGGAGCTGGTTTGGAAGTGGAACAGCATGAAGGCCGCAGCTTTACCCATTGTGCCACTTGCCCCTCCCCCCGTGTTTCGGTTCTAAACCACAGGAATGGTAGAGTGGGGTGATACTAGGAAGGAACATGGAACCGAGGTACCCAGGTGCGGTCTCCGCGCTTGCTGGGTAGTTTTCTGTTGCTTCACACCTGAATTTAACAGTTTTCTTTGTAAAACTAAAATGTTCAGAGAATATCGTGTTAAGGAAGAAGAAATGTTTGTTCAGTGCTACCCGAATTGAAACATTATAGAAGAGAATGTAATGTGATGGGTAAAAGTAGGAATTGCCAGAATTTGATTTTTTTCTGAGGAGTGTGAACCCAGGTTTACTCATGGTACAGAATGTCAGCACAAAGCAGATGAAAATGCAGCGAGCAGTGTTCAGGCATGATGAACGCGCAGGCTTGGGCCACTTGCAGCTGTTAAAGCGCAGGGCAACGGACACTTGGACATTATCCCCTTTGAGGGGAGACAGTTCTGTCAGGAATTAAGAAATTGGCTGATGGTGGCTTTTAATGAGCACAACCAGTGGGAGGATGGGAACTCGGGACTGTCATTAATCTTGAATTTGAAAACATTGAGCAGAATTCACCTTGGGACTAGAAAGGATTAATGGTGGAGAATAGTGTGAAAAACCTACCAAATATGGTGGCCTGCTGTTTCCAAATTACTGCTCTTCTACTTCAGCGAAAAATCAACGATTTGTTATCCAGGGTCATGCTCTTAAGCTAGCTGGTATTTCAACAGAATACTAGGGTCAGGTAGCTAGAATGGAGGTCAGAAGGTATCAGCCTTAGGGTAGTTTTTGGCAGCAGCCATCAAGAAAAGAAGAGAGGAGAGATTAAGCCATTTTCGCGGTACCTTAAAAATGTACATGGAAGTGGAACCAGGGAGCACACAGATCAGCTCTTTGGTGCTGTTGTTTGTTAGCAGTGTAGTTTATCTGTACCCCTAAGCTGTTGGAAAAGTCACTGGTCTTGGTATCTCAGTCTCCACTTTGATTGGAGTTTTGCCAAAGGTTAGTGGCCCTCTCATTGATTTTAAAGTAGAACTGCACATGAATTATGTAGAGAATTTTTATTTAAAAGTAAAGTTATTGGGTCCTTCTAATAAAGGTCTCTGGTGAGGTTTGAAAACCACTCCCAAAGAATTTTCAGTCAGATTCAGGAATCCTGTACTGGCTGTCTGTGTAACTTTCAATTCAGTTTTTCATGTGCTCTAGGGGTGGTGAACTCTGCTTTTGTGGAAGCTTTTTTCCCTCCACCTGGACCATTTCTTCCCCATGACCTTAAGGTGTATGTGGTTTTTTTTTTTTTTTTTTTTTTTTTTTTTTTAAGATTTATTTATTTATTTGCAAGGCGGAATTACAGAGGTCTTCCATTCACTGGGTCACTCCCCAAATGGATGCAGTGGCCAGAGCTGGGCCATTCAGGAGCCAGGAGTTTCTTCAGGTCTCTCACATGAGTGCAAGGGCCCAGTGTTCGGGCCATCTTCCACTGCTTTTCCCAGGCCATTATTAGCAGGGAGCTGGATTAGAAGTGGAGCAGTTGGGACTGGAACCAGCACTCATATGGGATTCAGGCAATGCAGGCAGAGGCTTAACCTACTGAGCCATAGCGCTGGACCTGACCCTCCTAAGTTTAACTCATTTGTCATTCTCCTAATGAAAATCAGTATAATATAAAATCTAGGACATGTTGTCAACTATTTGGTTACTATCAGTACTCCTTACTAATATGACACAAATCAGCCAAAGGAAAGACATTGAAAATATATTGGCCGGCACCGCGGCTCAATAGGCTAATCCTCCACCTAGCGGCTCCGGATTCTGTCCCGGTTGCCCCTCTTCCAGGCCAGCTCTCTGCTGTGGCCAGGGAGTGCAGTGGAGGATGGCCCAGGTCCTTGGGCCCTGCACCCATGGGAGACCAGGAGAAGCACCTGGCTCCTGCCTTCAGATCAGTGCGGTGTGCCGGCCGCAGCGCGCCAGCCGTGGCGGCCATTGGAGGGTGAACCAACGGCAAAAGGAAGACCTTTCTCTCTGTCTCTCTCTCACTGTCCACTCTGCCTGTCAAAAAAAAAAAAAATATATATATATATATAGAGAGAGAGAGAGAGAGAGAAATAGGAGACTTGGTGTAGAACAATTGTTCTAGGTTGAGGGTGTGTCAGTTTTTGAAGACTTTAAAAATAATTTTTAGAATGTTTAAGTTCATATTGCCCAATAGTTTCTTCAGAATCAAGATAGTAGGCAGTTTTCATTTTAGAGCTAAAATAGCCGACCCTATATATTTTTGTTACCTCTGGGTTTGTTGAAACCAAGTGGACTGAAAATGTATAAGATCTGTTCGCCATTCACAGAATTTGAGGTATTGCTTAATTTGCCTGAGGACTTCCAAGTCTTACTCTGGACCCTAAATTTTTTTTTTTTTTTTTTATTGATATACAGTAAGAGTGGTAACTTCCTGCTGGTTTACTACCCAAATACCTACAAAGACCTGGGGTTGGGCCAGGTGGAAGCCAGGAGTAGAAGCTCAGTCCAGGTCTGCCACATGTGTGGTAGGGACCCCAGGACTTAAGCCGTCACTCAGCTGCTGCTTCCCAGGGTGTGTTTTAGTAGCAATCTGGAATTGGAAACAGAACCCAGACCTACCTACAGGCACTTATTTGAAAGAATTACATAGAGAGGTCTTCCATCCGCTGGTTCACTCCCCAGATGGCTGCAACAGCCGGAGCTGAGCTGATCTGAAGTTAGGAGCCAGGAGCTTCTTCTGGGTCTCCCGTGTGGGTGCAGGGACCCAAGGATTGGGCCATCTTCTTCTGCTTTCCCAAGCCATAGCAGAGAGCTGGATTGGAAGGGGAGCAGCTGGGACTAGAACCAGCGTCTATATGGGATGCCGGTTCTACTACCCTCATTGGAGGCCTGGATTGCATTCCTTGTTGCTGCCCTCTCCCTGCTCAGCCACAGCTGTTGGAGGCATCTGGGGAGTGAACCAGCGGATAGTCCTTTTTCTCTGCCTCCACTCTGCTTCTCTAACTTTCAAATAAATATATTAATATAAATATCATATTTATTTGAAAGAGAGGCAGAGGGAGACTGGTTCACTCCCCAAATTTCTGCCGTGGTCAGGTCTGTGCCACACTGGAGCCAGGAGCTTCTTCCAGGTGCCCCACGGTGGGTGCAGAGCTCCAAGGACTTGGGCCATCTACCACTGCTTTCCCAGACGCATTAGCTGGGAGCTGGATTGGAAGTGGAGCAGCTGGAACTTTGCCTATATGGGAATGCCAGTGCTGCAGATGGTGGCTTTACCATGAATGCCAGCATTGACACACCAGTAACAATTTCTTTTTTTCTTCTTAATTTTTTCTTTTTTTGACAGGCAGAGTGGACAGTGAGAGAGACAGGGAGAAAGGTCTTCCTTTACCATTGGTTCACCCTCCAGTGGCTGGCACACCGCGCTGATCCGAAGGCAGGAGCCAGGTGCTTCTCCTGGTCTCCCGTGGGGTGCAGGGCCCAAGGACCTGGGCCATCCTCCACTGCACTCCCTGGCCACAGCAGAGAGCTGGCCTGGAAGAGGGGCAACCGGGACAGAATCCGGCGCCCCGACCGGGACTAGAACCCGGTGTGCCGGTGCCGCAAGGCGGAGGATTAGCCTAGTGAACTGCGGCGCTAGCCCACCATTTCTTAAAAGTTAGAAGTTCCTATTAAAAAAAATCCATCCATCTCTGCTGTATAATGAACTTTTTTAAAAGATTAGTTTATTTGGAAGTCATAGTTGAGGGGATGGGAGAGAGATCTTCCATCTGCTGGTTTTCTTCCCAGATAACAGCAGTCAGGAGCTTTTCCTAGGTATTCCATATGGGTAATAGGGGCCCAAGCCCTTGGGCCATCTGCAGCTGCTTTTCCCAGGCCATTAGCAGGGAGCTGGATGGCAAGTGGAGTAACAGGTACAGGAACTGGCATCCATATAGGATGCTGGTATTGCAGATGTTGGCTTAACCCGCTATGCTATAACACCAGCCCCTGTAAAGTGAAATTTTAACATATAGAATATTTTACTCAGAATTGGAAGCAGAGATAAAGGTGGAATATAAAGTCCTAAATATGGAAAAACCCATGGGAGAAAGCATTAAAGAATTTGTGTTCCGCCGGCGCCGCGGCTCACTAGGCTAATCCTCCGCCTAGCGGCGCCGGCACACCGGGTTCTAGTCCCGGTCGGGGCGCCAGATTCTGTCCCGGTTGCCCCTCTTCCAGGCCAGCCCTCTGCTGTGGCCAGGGAGTGCAGTGGAGGATGGCCCAGGTGCTTGGGCCCTGCACCCCATGGGAGACCAGGAAAAGCACCTGGCTCCTGGCTCCTGCCTTCGGATCAGCGCGGTGCGCCGGCCGCAGCGCGCCGGCCGCGGCGGCCATTGGAGGGTGAACCAACGGCAAAGGAAGACTTTCTCTCTCTCTCTGTCACTCTGCTGTCGAAAAAAAAAAAAAAAAAAAAAAAAAAAAAAGAATTTGTGTTCCCAGATAATTAAAACACCTGTTAATTCTTGCCACTGGGTAGCTTCAGTAGATCTTCTTGCACAGATGACTGATTTAAAGAATAGCATTCTAAATTTTATTGTGTGTGTAGTGTTGAAGTTTCAGCTGAAATGTTGTCCCATATATAGTCTTACCCGTTTTCTGAGGAATATTGTAATACAAGTGTGGTAGTTCTCAGATGTATGAAGAGGAATTACAGTTAATCCAGTACTTTTTACTTTTACAGGTGAGCGAGTATTGTGCTTTCATGGGCCTCTTCTTTATGAAGCAAAGGTATGAGATCTGTTTTCTTTAGTGAAATTGGCCAGAACTGTTAGACTTATTAAATATCAAACTGCAATGTTCTGTTGGCTTCTGTTGCCTCTCCATAGGTTCAGAGATTCCATGTTCTCTGCTTTCTCACTCTTGCCTAACGGGTCGAATAATTAAAAAATTGCTACTCCCTTCTGACCTTATTTGCTGAAGGTCCAGTTGTGGGAAGTAGCATTTAAAGGAAAATACAGTTTTTTTAATGAACAAATTATAAAATAGATAACAGTATAATTAAAAGGCAAAATTCCATGTAAAATACTGATGGAGTTAATATTATGTCTCAAAATTTGTAGGATCATTTTGAAGAGTTCTGAGTAATAGCCATTTTCACCATTTCTTACTGTGGTTTGAATACATGTTGTATTGTTAAAGTTCTGTAATGGCTGGTTGTTGGATTCATGGAAATGGTTGGGAACTTTTTAAGATATGTGTGTTTATCTGAGAGATTCTTACACAGTTTAATGTTAAATTATGAGTGCTGTTGATCATTTATATATCATTTTGAAACACTAAATCTATTTTATAAATTGCTTTTTTTCCTGACATCAAAACGTATCGGTGACTAATTTTAAAATGACTATTGAAGTAACTTACTGTTCTTTTTGGTTTGCCTCTGATAAACTTTTTTTTTAAAGATTTATTTTATTAATTTGAAAGAGTTAAAAGAGAGAGGTAGAACCAGAGAGAGGTCTTCCATCCGCTGGTTCACTCCCCTAAATGACTGCAACAGCCAGAGCTGAGCTGATCTGAAGCCAGGAGCTTCTTCTGGGTCTTCCCACGTGGGTCGGGCCATCTTCTGTTGCTTTCCCAGGCTACAGCAGAGGGCTGGGTAGGAAGTGGAACAGCCAGGATTCGGGATTCTAACCATTGCCCGTATGGGATGCCTGTGCTGCCTGTGCCTGTGCTGCACCACAGCACCAGCCTCGCCTCTGATAAAACTTTTTTTAAAAATACTTAGTTATTCCTCCACCTTGCGGCGCTGGCACACCGGGTTCTAGTCCCGGTCGGGGCACCGGATTCTGTCCCGGTTGCCCCTCTTCCAGGCCAGCTCTCTGCTATGGCCAGGGAGTGCAGTGGAGGATGGCCCAGGTGCTTGGGCCCTGCACCCCATGGGAGACCAGGAAAAGCACCTGGATCCTGGCTCCTGCCATCGGATCAGCGCGGTGCGCCGGCTGCAGCGGCGGCCATTGGAGGGTGAACCAACGGCAAAGGAAGACCTTTCTCTCTGTCTCTCTCTCTCACTGTCCTCTCTGCCTGTCAAAAAAAAAAAAAAATACTTAGTTATTTGGAAGGCAGAGTTATGACAACACAGCCTGCACTGGGCCAGGCCGAAGCCAGGAGCTCCATCCTTGGTGTCTTGTCCCACGTGGGTGCAGGGGCCCAAGTACTTGGGCCATTTTCCACTGCTTTCCCAGGCACATTAACAGGGAACTGGATTGCAGTGGAGCAGCCAAGACTTAACCTGCTATGTCACAACATTGGTCTCCTCTGTTAGACTTCTTAAAATCCAAAATCAGATAGGTATCACTTGTCACAGTGACTTTTCTGTAATGATACATTTTTATTTGCCTGGCTTGTTTTAAGAAAATAATAATAATAAAAAAAACTCTCAGTTTGCCAGTTGCTTAATTTAATTTTCAGAAATCATATAATGACTTCCTAACACAGTTTAAATACATCGGTGAAAATTATTAAATAAATGTAATTCCTGGCTAGTTAGACTTTGATAAAGCACAAACAGCTCTCAATAGCTGTCCTTCCCCTTGGTAGCTTATCCATGATAAGGTTTAGTGTGAAGTTTGATGGTATGGCTCTCAGCTTTGGCTCTTTTGACTGATTTGCAGGTCACTGCTCCTTAAGTAGTCTTGCTGTAGAAAGGCAAATTTTGTTTTGTTCATTTTGGCCACAGAAAAGATTACGTGTCTTTGAAAGATTGGATAGATTAAAACCATCTAAATAAGAGTGTCTGTACCTCTCTTAAAAATTGTTTTTTTTTTTTTTTTTTATTTCAGTGTGTAAAGGTTGCTATAAAGGACAAACAAGTGAAATATTTTATACATTACAGTGGTTGGAATAAAAAGTGAGTATTAGCCCTTTTACAACAATTTTTATAATTAAAGTGGCTTGTGTCACTGGTACAAGCATTGCTTTTTGTGTAGTTATAATGTAATACAGTGCGTATTGAAATAAGGGTGAACCATTTATAGTGTGATGAAATTGTTAACTCGGATGTTTTATTTATTTTTTTAAAAAGTATTTGAAAGAGTTAGAGAGATCTGCTGGTTCCTTCCAAATGGCCGCAACAACTGTGGCTGGGTCAGGCCAAAACCAGGAGCTGCTTCTGGGTCTCCCACATGGGTGAGGGGACCGAGGGACTTGGGCCATCCTCTTTTCCCAGGCCATTAGCAGGAAATTGGATTGGAAGTGGAGCAGCTGGGACATGAACTGGTGCCCATATGGGATGTCAGCGCTGCAGGCCATGGCTTTAACCTGTACCACGGCACCAGCCCCAGCTGTTTTATTTTTAAATGTGCTTTATTTGAGTGTAATAGTGGCCTTTTTCTGGTTTTGGATATCCTGAAAATTGTGGCCATAGTAGAAACCCAGTGAGACGACATGTATTATTTTGGGCAATTATACTTAAAACCTGTTGGGTTTTTCTTTTTTTTTTTTTTTTTTTTTTGACAGGCAGAGTGGACAGTGAGAGAGAGACAGAGAGAGAAAGGTCTTCCTTTGCCGTTGGTTCACCCTCCAATGGCCGCCGCTGCAGCCGGCGCACCGCGCTGATCCTGGCAGGAGCCAGGAGCCAGGTGCTTTTCCTGGTCTCCCATGGGGTGCAGGGCCCAAGCACCTGGGCCATCCTCCACTGCACTCCCTGGCCATAGCAGAGAGCTGGCCTGGAAGAGGGGCGACCGGGACAGAATCCGGCGCCCCAACCGGGACTAGAACCCGGTGTGCCGGCGCCGCAAGGTGGAGGATTAGCCTATTGAGCCACGGCGCCGGCGGGTTTTTCTTTTTTTAAAAAATATTTTATTTGAAAGGCAGAGTGAGAGAGAGAAGAGAGACTGAGATCTCCATCTGCTGGTTCACTACCCAGTTGGCTACAATGGCCAGGGCTGGGCCAGGGCAAACCAAAGGAAGACGACAGGAGCTACTTCGGGTCTCCTATGTCGGTGCAGGGGCCCAGGGACTTGGGCTGTTTGCTGCTGCTTTCCCAGGCACATTAGCAGGGGAACTGGATTGGAAATGGGCAGCCTGGACTTGAACTGATGGCATATGCGGCTTAACCTGCTGCTCTGCAGTGCTGGCCCGTGTTGGATTTCTCTATCTAGAAAAGGGAAAAGGCTAGTAGATTGCTTAATTTGGAAATACTAATAAATAGCATTTACTATCATCTGAACTTTGGAAACATTTTAATGATGACAGGAAATGGTTTCATGTGGCTTACCTTTCGCATAGGATTTAACACACATAACAAGTTCAGTTATAGAATCTAATTGTCTGTGCCCTAGACAGATACTGGGTATAAATTGAACACATTCTACAATATCTAGCTGGTAGAATTGTTTCTCAACGATAAGTCTTTCTCTTTGGGGCACACAAATAACCCAATTGAATAGTGTATCCAGGCCTTCTCTTTGGTAACTGATTGCTTTGTGTTTTTTACTACAAGAGGTTTTGTTAATGATGGTTTATCCTTCAAAATGATAACTGCCAGTAACTAGTTCTTGAAGAATTACTCGCTAGTGACTTCAGGTTTTTTGTCACCTGACCTAGGCTCTGGTGTCTTTCACAGTGGAAGCAATTAACACCTGACTTGATGAGTACTTCGTTGATGTGGAAGGAGGGTTTTTCTGTATCAGCCCTGTAACTTTGTTCTTGTTTCACAGTCTACTATCCAGGTGGCTACCCACACTGTCAGTCACTTGTCACCTGCTTAAGGCTCAGAACCCTCAAAACTTCAGTATCTCCCACTAGTATAATTGTGGAAAGGTAGAAATCTAAAATACATAAATGTACATTGCGACAGCTTTAAGATTCGTTGTATTTGAAAGGCAGTGATAGATCTTCTATCCACTAATTCACAACCCAAATGGCCACAACAACCAGAGCTGGGTTAGGCTAAAGTCAGGAGCTGCTTCTGGGTCTCCGTCATGGGTGTTAGGGACCCAAGCACTTGGGCCATCTGCTTTCCCAGGCCATTAGCAGGGAGCTGAATCAGAAGTAGAGCAGCCGGGACATGTAGACTGTGGCTTTACCCGCTATACCACAAAGCTGGCCTCAAAAGAATGAAATGTGAAGTGAGTATTTTAGTATTTTATTTGACTTGTATTTGCCTAGTGATATTCTCTGGATATATCATTAATGTTGAGAGTGTTGAGTTATAATGAGAATTTCAAGGCTCTTTAGAATAAATAGTATCTCATTGATGTCAGTTGGAAAGTCCAAGTAGGATATCGGAAGAAAACTCAAAAGTAAATGTATAGGATTAGATACACTTTCCTCCCACCTCCTGCATACATGTAAAGAATTTCACCTGGGGCCGGCGTCGTGGCTCATTGGGCTAATCCTCCACCTTGCAGCGCCGGCACACCGGGTTCTAGTCCCGGTTGGGGCGCCGGATTCTGTCCTGGTTGCCCCTCTTCCAGGCCAGCTCTCTGCTATGGCCAGGGAGTGCAATGGAGGATGGCCCAGGTCCTTGGGCCCTGCACCCCACGGGAGACCAGGAGAAGCACCTGGCTCCTGGCTTCGGATCAGCGCGATGTGCCGGCCACAGCGCGACGGCCATTGGAAGGTGAACCAATGGCAAAAGGAAGACCTTTCTCTCTGTCTCTCTCTCACTGTCCACTCTGCCTGTCAAAAATAAAAAGAATTTTACCTGTAAGCTAACTTACAGCTTGTGGGCTTAGCTCCTCTCATAGATGTCTGCAGCTCAAAGATTGGATTTTAGTTGGCATTTGTAAATTATCAGAAACTGAAAATACCAGATGCATGTATTTTGCTGATTTTTACTGCTGGACTTTTTCCTTTGGCATATATGGTTGAGTAATACAAATAAATGATAGGCCTGTAGATTATTTGTTCTCAGGTATTACTCCTCGGGAAAGTAAAGGGGGAAAATGGCAGTAAGTATTAAGGATTTCTATTATTATCTGTATAGGTGTGTTAAGGAACTTTAATATACCAAGAGTGTCTCTTTATGATTTACTTGGTAGTAGGTAAATGCAAATTGTGAAAAACTTGACATTATCTTTTAGAAACCAGTTGGAGGAAACTTTAAATAAACCTATTGAAAGGGAAGAGGAGTTGCACAAATAACCTAGTCAGGTGTTTTGTGTAAGCAGTACCGAGAATCCTGACTTTGGAAATCAGTCATAAGCAATCTTTAGAAAATTCTGAAATTCTTTGATGCTTATTTACAGAAACCTGGAGTGTTTGGTTTTCAATTACAGTAGTGATGTTGCTAAGAGCAAAGGATTCAATGAGAATTCTCAGCTCTTTACATGTCAAGGGAATTGTGGTAGCAACTTGATTTTGTAGATTTAGGTGCCTTTTTTTTTTTCTAAAGCTTTTATTTAATGAATACAGTTTTCATAGGTACAGTTTTGGGAATATAGTGGTTTTTCCCCCATAGCACCCTCCCTCCCCCACTTCCGTCCCACCTCTTACTCCCTCTCCTATCCCATTCTTCAGGTTTCATTTTTAATTAACTTTATATACAGAGCAAGTGCTTCTTTAGATGCCTTCTTTTTTAAAAAGATTTAATCTTATTTTTATTTGAAAGGCTGACTTAGATGTGGAAAGAAAGCTGTCCACCTGCTGGTTCCCTCCTCAGATGGCCTGAATGGAGTGATCCAGAGCCTTCGTGTGGGTGCAGGGGCCCGAGGGCTTGGGTCCTCTCCTGCTGACTTCCCTAGGCGCAGTAGTGGGGAGCTGGGTTGGAAGTGAAGCAGCTGAGACTTGAACCAGTGCCGCCCCTAGGTGCATTTTAGAACTCAGGAGAAGGGATTTGTAAGGCTCTAAAGTGGAACCTTGGTAATTAAAAATTGTTTTTATCTCCTTTGATTTCCAAAAAATTAGAGAAGACATAAATACATTACATTACTTTGTTTTTATAGATTTATTTTACTTGAAAGGCAGAGTTAGGCAGATAAAAAGAGATCTTCCATCTCCTGGTTCACTCTATGAATGACCACAAGAGCCAGTGGCTGGACAAGGTTGAAACCAGGGACCTGAAACTCCATCTGTGTCTCCATTGTGTGTGGATGGCAGGGACCAAGCATCTGGGCCCTCTTCAGCTGCTTTCCCAGGCACATTAGCAGGAAGCTGGATCGGAAGTGGAGCAGCTGGGACTTGAACCTGCACTCAGTATGAGATGCTGGTGTTGCAGGAGATGGCTTGGCTTTACCTGCTGCACCACAGTGTGGCCTCTAGATAAATAACTTTTTTTTTTTTTAAAGATTTATTTATTTGAAAGGGTCACAGAGAGAGGAGAGGCAGAGAGAGAGAGAGAGAGAGAGGGGGAGAGAGGGAGAGAGAGGGAGAGAGGGAGAGGGAGGGAGGGAGGGAGGTCTTCCATCCTCTGGTTCACTCCCCAATTGGCCACAGTGGCTGGAGCTACACTGATCTGGAGCCAGCAGCTTCTTCTGGGTCTCCCAGGCAGGTGCAGGGGCCCAGGGACTTGGGCCATCCTCTGCTGCTTTCCCAGGCCATAGCAGAGAGCTGGATCAGAAGTGGATCAGCTGGGACATGAACTGGTGCTCATATGGGATTCTGGCACTGCAGGCGGCGGGCTTTACTTGCTGTGCCTCAGCGCTGGCTCTGATAAATAACTTTTTAAAATATAAGATCCTCTTGTTGTGAGTGTGTGGTGCAGTGCATTAAGCTGCCCCTTGGGATGCCTGTAAGTCATATTGAGGTGCTGTTTCAAGTACTGGCTGCTCTACTTCCTGATCTAGCTTCTTGCTGATATGCCTGGGAGGCAGAAGTTAACCCTGGTACCTGTGTTCCTGTCACCTGCCTGGGAGGTGTGGATGGAATTTTGCAGCTCTTGTCTTTGGCCTGGCCTAACCCTGGCTGTTGGCAGCAAATGCAAGACACCGCTTACTGTTTCTTCTCTATCACTCTGCGTTGCAAGTAAAATAAATCTTTAAAAAATTTTTTTCGTTTTGCAGATTGATAGCATGCCTTGAAAAAAATCATACAACAAAGCCCTAATCCCTGAATTGGAATTTTCTTAACTTTAAATATTTTCAGAAGCATAATAGAAATCAAGATACTTCTAAATTTCCAAAAGAATTTGACACGGACATTTATATATTCCGTTTGTAAATGAATCTTAATATAGCTTAAGTTAAATGCTGCACCTGGTTACTGAGATTACTTTGTACTGTACTGTCTGTATCAGAAGTGCTGGGAGGCCCAGGCGCTCTGAAAAAACTTTGAAGACACATGAGGATATTGTAGCCCTTTTTCCTGTTCCTGAAGGAGCTCCCTCAGTACACCACCCCCTCCTGACCTCTAGGTAAATGCATGTTTTAAAGTTTTCTCTAGGAAGTAGTGTTGAGGATTGCTTTTAGTTTATTCATTTTTCCTTTTGGCTGTATTCTCTTAGAGGTCAGAGATGGGAAGTCATTACCCTGAGAATATACCTCCTGTGTCACTAAAGGAGCTCCATCAGCAGGAGAAAAGACTGATTTACTCAAAACATTGAGCAGTCCCTCAGAAAAATTTTGAGGAAAAAACAGACCATCAGAAATCTTGTTTTAAAACAGTGGTTCTATTTCATTCACAAACTAGCCTCTGGTCAGCCTTGGAAGTTAGTACATTCATTTGTAAGTGACGACAGGTAGAGAAGAATGTAGTCTGATAAACTGTTGTAATTATTTAGTTTTACCAATATAGTGGAGTTGATGTAGATGGTGTTTGAGTATTGTGGACATCCTGATGATGCTTGGCTCGTGCCTGTCACGTTACTAGGGAACATGGCTTTCAGAAAAATTTACCTTTTGTTAACAGTCCTGTGAGATAGGTGCTGTTGTGTCATTTAGAGATGTGATGAGAGGTACAGAGAATTACGTAACTTTGCTGTTACTGTTTAATGGTTTTTCTATTTTTCTTTTTAAAGTTTATTAGAGATTACTGTGTGTCATCTTTGGCAATTAAAAAATAATATAACATTTTTATTCTGTAAAACTAATAACTTCGGGACTCAGTTATACCAGGGTACTTAAAAAAGTCAATGGAATAATGGAATTAAAGGATACATTTGGGAGTCTTTGGTGTAGTCCATGTCAGAATGCCTGGTTTGAGCCTTTGCTCATTTCTGTGGATTCTAGCTTCCTGCTAATACACATCCTGGGGGCAGCAGGTGATGGCTAAAGGGGTTGAGTACCTGCCCCCCACAGTTTGAATTCCTGGCTTCAACCCAGTTTTTGTGGGAATTTAGGGAATGAATCAGCTGTTGGGAGATCTGTCTGCCTTTCAAGTAAGCAAAAAATAAAAAATTATTTAAATGAAATTCAAACTTAAAGTTTGAAATCCATAGTTTTTTTTCTCCATGATGCACATTTCCCGTGAATATTTTGAGGACCCTGTGTACATACAGATTCCAAGATTTTTTGCACTTCAGTGTTACCTGTTAATTCTATTTTCCATGAGTTTTTGAAGCACACTGTGTTCTTAGATCACTTGTGAATGATTTGAATCATCTGCTTTTGGACTCTGGCAGTTTATAAATGTGGAATACTTCTGAGAATATCCATGCTTCTCTTTTTACAGAACAGACTTGTCATTCGTTTTTTATTTCATTGGAGAATGAATTTTTAGTGCCAGTTCGTTAAAATCAAATGCGTGCTTCTTGTATCTTTTTTTTTTTTTTTTCAGTTGAATGTATGTTGATTCAGTGAAAATGTTTTTAAGTATTTTAACTTTCCTTTTTCCCAGTTGGGATGAATGGGTTCCAGAGAGCAGAGTACTCAAATATGTGGACACCAATCTGCAGAAACAGCGAGAACTTCAGAAGGCCAACCAGTAAGTGTTTTGAGAAGTGATTATTGAGAAATGTGTAGATTAATTTTGTACATGGACTGAATAGTGGAAGTCATGTTGGTTTCCTACCTATAAAATGATTCTTTTCCTGTGTTACAGCTTTGGTTTCAAGTCAGACAAGCTTTTTCTAGATGAAGGAGGTAGCACACCTGTACTTGAATCTGTCCTTAGTGCTTGGTAGAAAATAGCAAGAATCATGTTGAGATGCTGTAGGTGTAAATCCATGGCTGGATTTCTTCTGTCCTAATTGGGCTCCATGGAAGGGAATGTTGGTGGAGTGGAAAACAAAATGCCAGGTGTCCCGTTTCTGTCTTTTTTCTCTGAAAGCACACTGAATGATAAGCACCCTGAAAGACTATGTGGTCCTGTGATTGTTTTCTTCAGTCTGAAAGCTGTAGTGTGTGTTAAATAATAAAATGGGATTAGTGAATACCAAAACAGAAATGGAATATTCAGTTGTGAGACACAATCTCTTGTCACATTTTACTTTATGGACTTTAATAATAATGGAGGAGAGAAGGACAGAATCTTCCATATATTGGTTCACATTCTAAATGCCTTCAACATCTGGGGCTGCCCTGGGCCAAAGCCAGGAATCTGAAACTCAATCCACTGTAGGTGGCAGGGACCAGAGTATTCGGTCCTCCCAAAGGTATACGGTACCATGATGCTAGAAGAGGAACTAGTTCCAGGGCTGCAGTCTTGGCACTTTGTTCAGGGATCTGGGCAACCACTGTACTGAATGCCCGCCACTGTATAAACACATTACTTGTTCGTCCCCCTTGTTTAAAGCTTTGTACGAGTTTGTGTAAGTTTGGGACCCCAATTGGATTATAACTTCCTGATGGAATTGGGCTGGTACAATTTTCCCACATAAGTACACATTTTTTGATGATAATATTACTGAAATTCTTTTGAAGGGAGCAGTATGCAGAGGGGAAGATGAGAGGGGCTGCTCCAGGAAAGAAGACATCTGGTCTGCAACAGAAAAATGTAGAAGTGTAAGAAGCTCTCTCTTTGCTCTAATTTTTTTTTTATTTTTTATATCTTTGCTTTAATTTTACGTGTTTTTTTTTTTAAGTATAATTCAGATCTGGATTTTGAGTTTGGACACTTTGGAACGTGACTGGAACTTTAAAAATTAACAATGAGATTTCTGTTCCTTGGGTTTCAGGTTGTTAAAAGTCATTGAAAATGCATGTTAAATATGTATGTGTTCCTTATTTCAAAGTTACTTTTAAGATTTATTAATTTAAAAGGCAGAATTACAGAGAAAGAGGGAGAGAAAGAGATCTTCATCCACTGGTTCACTCCCTAAATGGCTGCAGTGGCTTAAGCCAGGAGCCTGGAACTCCATCTGAGTCTCTCATGTGGATGGCAGGGTCCTGAGCGCTTGGGCTATCTTCTTTCCCAGGCGTATTAGGGAGCTAGATAGGAAGTTGAAATGCCACATCTTGTGCCAGTGCCCATATGGAATGCCAGTGTAGTACATGGTGGCTAAACCCACTATGCCACAACTGCAGCCCCTTTTATAAACTTTTAGAAGAGACCTTGTGTTTAGTGAATGGTTTTCCCTGAAGAGCTTAAATCATAGTTCATATTGAATCTTAATGGCTTATATTTTGACTATATAATAGTTATAGGACTTAGAGATAATACAGACAGAGCATGTTGATTGACATGCAGTGTTTCATACAATGATCAAGAAGATAGAAGCAGGAATGTTCAGTAGTCCTCACTGTAGGGATTCATTGAAACAAACAGTCCACCTATCTTATATTGCAGAGGTAAGATAAGCTGTCAGTATTTATAGAGTAAAAGATTGAGTGCTTTTAACAAATGTTTGTTATAAAAGTGAATCTAGAGCTTTGCAGGTATAATCCTGTACGTAGGCTAGCCATATTTCTTATGTTTAAAGTCAATTATAAGTTAATTTGGGTTGAAAAATGAGTTCCAAGACTAAATGAATATAATTCATAACATACATTGTTTATTATTTTTTTAAAAGATTCATTTATTTGAAAGAGAGGCAGAGAGAGAGGAAGGGAGGTCTTCCATCTGCTGGTTTACTCCCCAATTGGCTGCAATGGCCAGAGCCGCGCCGATCTGAAGCCAGGAGCCAGGAGCTTCTTCTGAGTCTCCCACGTGGGTGCAGAAACCCAAGGACTTGGGCCATCTTCCAGTGCTTTTCCAGGCCACAGAAGAGGGCTGGATCGGAAGTGTAGCAGCGGGATCTCAGCCGGCACCCATGTGGGATGCTGGCACTTCAGACCAGGGTGTTAACCTGCTGCACCACAGCGCTGGCCCCGTTTACAGAGATGGGGAACCATTTTTTTCTGCCAAGGGCCATTTGGATGTTTAAAACATCATTTCTGGGCCATATAGCATTATCAGCTTAAAAAGTAGCCTGCTATAGACTTACTGAATTCTGTGTTTTACCTGCAATTGCCTCAGCAAGGTCAGACCAAATGATTCTGTGGGCCTCAGTCTGGCTTGGATGTTCCCCACCCCTGGTGTTTTAAAACTATAGTAAAGTAAAATTCAGGTGTTCTGGAATGAGCCTACAAAAGTAATCCATAATCAAAGCTTTGTCAGCTGTTTTCTTGGGTTCTCGAAATAGCTATAGCTAATTGGGTAATATGATAGACTACAAAAAGGCATGAGTTTTTACTAAAGATAATAACATAGGAAGGAGACATCAGCTTTGTTCTAGATATGGTAGAAGAGGGTATAATATTTAAATGGAAGGATTATAGAGAAGAGAAAGTTAAGTTTGAACCAATGAGAGTAGAGTAACATTGCTGTTTAAGACAGGCAAGTCTATAAACAAAATTAATGTTTTGGGAAGGGGAACAAAAACAGTAGGGAAAGTAAAACTGAAGCTTCTTGGTAGAATTAGTAATGTAAACTTTAATGTAATACTCTTATAAACTGCATACTTTTAAAATATACAACTTTGGTAGAAATTATCATCCATGTATTGGGTTATTCTGTTAATAAAAATCCTTGTTTCTGAACAGCCCCCCCCCCTTTTTTTTTTAATTTTTACTGCCTCATCTTACCCAAGGTAGTCTACCTTTGAATTTAACTGTGATAAAAGAGATCTGAACAAAGGCTGTTTTTACTGAATTTTTTTTCTCCTTTTCTTCTTTTAGGAAAACCAAAAAGAACAAACAGAAAAGTAAGAATGTTAACTCTCTTAATATTGATTTATACCATTATAACATCTTTTAATTTGCTGTGTATGTTTCTTGATGGTCGCAAATGAGTGTCACAGCAGTGTTGAGATAGATACACAGTGGGAGAGACCTAAGTCTGATGATCCTTATGCTGATGAGAAACTGTTAAAGATTTAAATATATGACTCCCCAGAAAAGATAACTTTTTTAAATAGATAGAACATAGTGATATTGTGTTGCTTATATAATGTTTGGTGGAGCTGATCCTAAAAGTTAAGCTTTCACTGAAAATAATTTTTTAACTTAGATTCAAGTAACAGGATCTGTCATAGGCTGTTTTTCTTAAAAAGTTATTAAACAAAATCCCCCTACCTCTGCCCAACACCCGTGTGTTAATAGCACCTGGAAATGGAGATGGCGGCAGTACTAGTGAGACCCCTCAGCCTCCTCGGAAGAAAAGGGCCCGTGTAGATCCTACTGTTGAAAATGTGAGTTTTTCTTGTGTAACTATTAGAATTTTCAGTCAGACACAACCTTCCTCCTTTCTGCCCTTGGGTAGAGGTTATATATATATATAAATCCTAATTTCACCTATAGCTCTCGACTTCCACACTTCATCACTTCATCATCAGGGGTTTACTGTACAAGTTCTGTGTTTTTTTTTTTTTTTTTTAATTTTTTTAAAATTGTTTTTTTGACAGGCAGAGTGGACAGGGAGAGAGACAGAAAGGTCTTTCTTTTTCCGTTGGTTCACCCCCCCAGTGGCCGCTGCGGCCGGCACACTGCGTTGATCTGAAGCCAGGAGCCAGGTGCTTCTCCTGGTCTTCCGTGGGGTGCAGGGCCCAAGCATTTGGGCCATCCTCCACTGCACTCCCGGGCCACAGCAGAGAGCTGGACAGGAAGAGGAGCGACCCGGGGTGCCGGCGCCGCAGGCGGAGGATTAGCCTATTGAGCTGTGGCACCGGCCACAAGTTCGTGTTTACACACAAGATCAAGTATTTCTTCAGTGTTGGAGGACAGGATAGTTTTTTTAGGTCATATTAAGTGACCTATTCGAGACATATCCAAGATGCTTTAATGAACCCAAAAGAGATGCCATGAAACCCTCTAAGTTCTGTGCTTTAAAGATTTTGTTTATTTGAAAGGCAGAGATACAGAGGGAGGGAGAGACAGAGAGGTCTTCCATCCTCTGGTTCACTCCCCAAATGGCTGCAACAGCCGGAGCTGGGCCAATCCAAAGCCAGGAGTTTCTTCTGGGTCTCCCATGCAGGTGTAGGGTGCTTGAGCCATCTTCTGCTTTTCTAGGCCACAGCAGAGAGCTGGATCAGAAGTGGAGCGGCCTGGACTCAAACTGGCGCCCATATGGGATGCTGGCTCTGTAGGAGGCAGCTTTACCTGCTATGCCACAGTGCCAGCCCTTCCCCCAAGATTTTTGTCTTTACTTTTATACTATTTTTTTTTATTATTTACTTTTTTTTTTTTTTTTTTACTTTTGTACTGTTGTACTATTTTTAAATGGACAGTTCTGCCTGTATATTTGGCATCTGCAAGCATTTGATCTATTCCTAGTGTCCTTAAAGGTCAAAATTTCCCTGTGGTCTAGAGTTACTCTTCAGCAAGAAAAGATGGGTTTCTGATAGTGTTGTTGTTTCTGTTTAGGAAGAAACATTCATGAACAGAGTGGAAGTTAAAGTAAAGATTCCTGAAGAGCTCAAACCATGGCTTGTTGATGACTGGGACTTAATTACAAGACAAAAACAGGTAACTTGAAAACGTCACAGATGGTGATCTGTGTGCTCATGCTCTTTCTTGCCACTCACTTCTGTTACTTCAAAAAGGAAAAAAAATAAACTTGAAGTTCTACAATATGATGAATAATATTTAGTTCAGAGACTGAAGAGTTATCAAAATATATTGGCTTTATGAGTTAATGGTTTAGAAAAAGGTGAAGATAATTCATTTCGGGGGTTGCTAGGTCAGAAATGATTCTGAGAGTTGATAAGTGCAGAACAGGTTGTATACACTGAGAATGGAATATCCTCACCGATGTATGGGTGGTAGAATGCAGACAGAAAGCACTCAGTACCACCTACAAAGTGGATTTCATGATCTCCAAAAGAACCTGAGTCTAATCAATCTTCTATGTGTAATTATTGGTTTTCAGGAATGGGAATGTTTAGTAGAGGAGGAGCATGTTGAACATAAAGAATTCGTTCATGAACATGAGGAATTCTGTAGGACAAATGAAGCAATTTAAAAGAAACATAGAGATTTGGGGTTAGGAATGGAGAGTAGAGGTTGCTTGGGGATGGTGACTTGAGAGACTCGCTCATCCACACCATGTGGACTTAAAGTTTGAGTCCTGATTTGAACTCTTTAAGGATGGGTCTTGGTTACAGCTAAGCTGCCAAGATTAAGTATCTCTCCAACTCCTTTTCTACCTGTGAGATTGGACAAGTGTCAACGTTTTGTGTGTTTTAGTTTCTGCGTTTAGTGGAATGGTGGTTTCTTCTTGATCTTGTTAGAATGCAAAGAGATAATTATGTTAAGTTAGCTTCAGACTGAAGCTGGCATGTAATATACAGTAAGTTAGTACTTGATAATGTGAAGGCACATCTATGTGTGGATGGGTGTGTGGGTCCCCGCAGATTGCTAGTCTTCAGAACTGTGCTGTGCAGTATCTTGGCCACTAGGCAAATGCAGCATTTCAAGTGACGTTTTGTATAATTAAATTTTCAGTTCTTCACATTATCTGTTCCATGTGCTGAATATTTTGTAATATATTACCTATTGCATGGAAGCTTTTCTAGTCTTAAATTTTTCTTTTAGAAAAAGAATATTGTTTAAGTGTGTTTTTATTTTCTTAGCTGTTTTATCTTCCTGCGAAGAAGAATGTGGATTCCATTTTGGAGGATTATGCAAATTACAAGAAATCTCGTGGAAACACAGATAATAAGTAAGACTGTCCTTTCCTAGTATATGCAAAAATGCTTGTCTTCAAATATCTTTATTTTCAAATGAGTTAGCAGAAGTTGGCAGAAATTCATTGACGACATTAGGATTATCTGGCAAAGTCTTATCAAGACAGATAATAGAAATTTTAGGCAAAATTGAAGTTGTGTATAGGCACTCTTAAAAATGAAACTCCCTCCCCCCCTTTAAAAATATTTATTTGAAGGAATTACAGTGATAGGAGATCTTCTGTCCATTATTCTCTCCCCAAATGCGTGCAGTGGCCAGGCTAGGCCAGGCCAAAGGCAGGAACGGGGAGGTTCATTTGGGACTCCAGTGTGGGTGGCAGGGCCCAAGCACTAGGGCCATTTTCCAAAGCTTACCCACTGCGTATCAGCAGGGACCTGGATTGGAAGTGGAGCAGCCAAAACATGAACTTGCATCCCATATGGGATGTGCCATATGGTGCAGTGCTGGCCCCTAGAATTTGACCCTTTTAAAATGTAAAACGCTAGGTCATTTTGAGAGTTGCAGTTTGCCAGGTCCTGCTTGTGCATATTTTTGAGAATTATTTTATGTCTCTTAATAAATCTCTTTGTTAAAAAAAAATCTCCATAGTGTTCCTTGTCAGTAGCTCTACCTTTAATTCCTTAACCCCTTGTTGGCTGGATTATCTGAGTTGTCTCTTTCAGTGGCTGCTTTTGAAAATTTTTCTTCCTTTCCCCCCATTTATCAGGGAATACGCTGTTAATGAAGTTGTGGCAGGGATAAAAGAATACTTCAACGTAATGCTGGGCACTCAGCTGCTCTATAAATTTGAGAGACCACAGTACGCTGAAATCCTCGCAGATCATCCTGACGCACCAATGTCCCAGGTGTATGGAGCGCCACATCTACTGCGATTATTTGGTAATAATACCATTAAGAAAACATGGTTTTACTTTTTTTTTATTGAGCCTTCAATAACTTAAGTTTTGTCTCCCTGAAAATGACTGATAGGTAAACTAACTTTCTAATCTGACTCCATTCCATTTTGAACCTTATTCTAAAAAGTTAAATAGCAAAATCTGCTTTAAAATCAGTGAGGGAACTGGTGATGGACATGGTCGTAGTGTCGCCTTGAATATAACTTGGTCTAAATTCTTCTCATTACATAGTGCGAATTGGAGCGATGTTGGCTTATACACCTCTGGATGAGAAGAGCCTTGCTTTGTTACTGAATTATCTTCATGATTTCCTAAAGTAAGTCTAAGTGAAAACTAGAAACATGGATTAGTGTGTTATGCTAAAATTGAGGAACTGATAATTATATGTTAAAGCAGTGGTATTAATTTAAGCGTAGTTAGATGGTTGATGGAACAATTTGAGTGCAAACCAGTGAGAACCTCAAGCAGTGGAGGTGGAATATTGGAATGATGGAGGAAAACTGGAGTATTCGGAATGGAGGTAAGCATTGTCTGGTCATTTGGAATTAGGATAAAATTCAAAGTTGCACTTTCTGGCACGTACCAAAGTACTAGAACAATCTAAAATTGAAACTAATAAAAACAGGTAGGGTAACATTTTTATAGTTTTGTAATCATGTGTGTGCAGCAAAGGGCTCTCTTTAGTAGAGTTCTTTTTTTTTTTTTAATATTTATTTATTTTAAAGTAAGAGTTAGAGAAGGAGAAGCAGAGAGAGGTCTTCCTTCCACTGGTTCACTCCTTCCAGTTGGCAGCATCGGCCAGATCTGCGCTGCTCCCAAGCCAGGAGCCAAGAACTTCCTCCGGGAAGGATTTAGGCCATCTTCCACTGCTTTCCCAGGCCACAGCAGAGCTGGATTGGAAGCGGAGTGGCTGGGACTAGAGCTAGTGCTCATATGGGATGCTGGCACTGCTGGTGGCAGCTTTACCTGCTACACCACAGTGCCAGCCTCCTTTAGTAGAGTTCTTAGTCAAGGTGAAACCATGAACGAGTAGGACACAGGAGGTTTATAGACATGGCGTATGTCTAACGTAACAGTATAAATTGCCGGTAAAATATTTCTTTTGTAACTGAGAGCTTCTATTTCTTTTTCTTTTTAATTTTTTTTTTTATTTTTTATTTTTTTGACAGGCAGAGTGGACAGTGAGAGAGAGAAACAGAAAGGTCTTCCTTTTGCCGTTGGTTCACCCTCCAATGGCCGCCACAGCCAGCGCGCTGTGGCTGGCGCACCGCGCTGATCCGATGGCAGGAGCCAGGTACTTATCCTGGTCTCCTATGGGGTGCAGGGCCCAAGCACTTGGGCCATCCTCCACTGTACTCCCGGGCCACAGCAGAGAGCTGTCCTGGAAGAGGGGCAACTGGGACAGAACCAGCGCCCCGACCGGGACTAGAACCCGGTGTGCCGGCGCCGCAAGGCGGAGGATTAGCCTAGTGAGCCGCGGCGCCGGCCCTCTTTTTAATATTTATTTATTTGGAAGGCAGAGTTAGATCTTCATCCCCTGGCTCACCCCCCAGTGGCTGCAGTGGGGGGCCAGGCTCCCACATAGGTGCAGGGATCCAAGTGTCTGGGCCATTTTCTTTTTTTCCAGGCAAATCAGCAGGGAGCTGTATTGGAAGTGGAGCAGCCGTACTCGAACTGGTGCCCATGTGAGATGCTGGTGTTGCAGTGGCAGCATAACCCGCTGTGCCACAAATGTTAGATTGGCCCAGGTTTTTTTTTTTTTTTTTTTTTAAAGACTTATTTATTTGAAAGACTTACAGAGAAAGGTAGAGCCGGTTGTGTGTGTGGGGGGGGGGTTTTCCATTCTGCTAGTTCACTTCACAAATGACCGCAACAGCCAGAGCCGAAATGATCCAGAACCAGGAGCCAAGAGCTTCTTGGTCTCCCACATGGGTGGAGGGGCCCAAGGACTTGGGCCATCTTCTGCTTTCCCAGGCCACAGCAGGGACCAATCCAAGGTCCCTGCTAATCCATTCTCTTCTGGATCAGTAGAGAAGCAGCTGGGACTCTGTTGCCCATATGGGATGCCAGCGCTGCAGGCTGTGGCTTTAACCAGATTGGTCCAGATTTAGTGAATAAGTGTGGAAAAGGGCACTCTTGGTTTCCACAGGTGGTTGGGGGACATTTCTAATGTAAAATACAGTATTGTATATTTATTATATTTCAATATTATTGTGAATTTTTTTAAAAAAAGATGTATTTATTTGAAAGTTAACAGAAAGAGATGGAAAGTAGAGCAGCTGGGACTCTTACCAGTGCCTGTATGGGTTGCAACAGTAGATGGCAGCTTAACCTAGAACACGGCATTGGCTCCTACAGTGAATTTTAGACAAGCTAGGCTTACGTTAGGATGAAGTAATAAGTACAAGGGTACTTTAGAAGTTTCGTGGGAAAACGGAATTAAAAGATAATTTTGGTGTAAAATCCTGCATAATTTTTTCATAGTATATACATTTTCCATGAATTTTTTCAAGACCCTTCATATGTGTGGATTTAAAAACCTTTTTTTGCCATTTTGTAAAATATTTAATTCCATTTTCCAACTTTTTGAAGTACCCTTTTGTGCTTTCATTGATGAGGAAAGTTATCCGTATTTTTTCTTGAAGATTTATTTATTTTTGAGAGGCAGAGTTATAGACTAGAGAGGAAGAGACAGAGTGAGAGATCTTTCATCCGCTGGTTCACTCCCCAAATGGCTCCAATGGCTGGAGCTGAGCCGATCTGAAGCCAGGAACCGAGAGCTTCGTCTGGGTCTCCATGCAGGTGCAGGGCCCCAGCCACTTGGGCCATCCTCCACTGCTTTCCCAGACCATTGGAGAGCTGGATCATAAGTGGAACAGCTGGGACTTGAACCAGCGCCCACATGGCATGCCAGCACCACAAGCAGAGTCCTAACCTGCTATGCCACTGCACCAGTCCTAATCCATATGGTTTTGATGGGAAAGAACACAGTCGAGGTAGTTGGGGAATGGTACAATTCTCATTTGTAGAGAAAGTTCAGTCTTTGGAAAAGGTCTGATTTTCCAAAATCTGAATATAGTTAACAAAGTGGGTTATTTCTTGGACCCAGTGTTGGTGGAAAGGTTCTCGTTTTCTCCTTCATACATTTCTGTATTTGAAGTTTTCCTTAATGACCATCTATTTTATGGTAAAGACATTTTTAGAACTGCAACATGGGTCTGGGAATCTGTAGTCCTGGTCTCTATCAGTGCTAGTGTGTTTCTTTGGCACACACAAGTGCTCCACTGCTTAATGGTTTAGGTCCTCTTCTCCTTTTTCTTTTTTCCCCTTTGTTTTAAAATTTTATTTATCTGAACAGTAGAATTAACAGTGAGCAAATGAGATACTGCATCTGCTGGTTTACTCCCTAGTGACCGCAAATGCCAAGGCTGAGGCAGGCTATAGCCAGGAGTTAGGTGTTTCTTCTGGGTCTCCCACGTGACTGGCACTGGGCCAAGCACTTAGACCCATTCTCCACTTCCTTCCCAGGCAATTAGAAGGGATTTGGATGGGAATGGAGTATACACTCAACAGCAGTAACCCCCCCTCTCCTTTTCTAATGGAATGTAATTTTAAGCTTGAAATATACTTGTGAATTTTGCATCTGTAAGGGAGCTAAAGAAAACATTTTTTTTAAACAATTAAAATGCCTCACAATTGGATAAAAAGTTTCTTAGAAGATTGCCTAAGCTCTCCAGTTGCAATTCAGGATTGATCTTTGTTATTTTTGAATAAGGAAGTGACTCCAGACTTCATTCATTCTTTCACGGTTAGTTATCTAGTAGGTAACCTTATTTACCTGAATTGTAATTAGCTTGGTTTTACAGTGAGGTAGTCAATAGTATATTTCAGGAAAATCCTTATAATGGGTAACATTTTATTTTTTAGGTACCTGGCAAAGAATTCAGCAACTTTGTTTAGCGCCAGTGATTATGAAGTGGCTCCCCCTGAGTACCACCGGAAAGCTGTGTGAGAGGCGGCACACTCACTCACTCAATATTGGTATCTCTGTAAACACATTTTTGTTTTTAGTCCTTCTCTTGTACAAATGATGTACTTTGAAGATGTTAGTGTATAACAGAATTGATGTTTGTTTTCTGTTTGATTTTGAACAGAGAAAATAAAAGGGGTTGCAGCTCCTTTTTTTCTTTTCTTACTTTTTCATTTCAAAGTTGCTACCAGTGTATTCAGTGATGGACAACAGAGGGACATGCTGTAGAGTGTTTTATTGCCTAGTCGACAAAGCTGCTTTTGAATGCTGGTGGTTCTATTCCTTTGACACTACGCACTTTTATAATATGTGTTAATGCTATATGACAAGATGCTCTGATTCTTAGTGCCAAAGGTTCAATTCAGTGTATATAACTGAACACACTCATCCATTTGTGCTCTTTTTTTTTTTTTTTTTTTTAATGGTGCTTAAAGTAAAGAGCCCATCCTTGGCAAGTCATCCATGTGGTTCCTTAGGCATTTTATCTTTGCTCAAATTGTTGAAGAATGGTGGCTTGTTTCATGGTTTTTGTATTTGTGTCTAATGCACGTTTTAACACAATAGACGCAATGCATTGTGTAGCTACAGTTTTCTGGAAAAGTTGATCTTTTAGGAATTGTTTTTCAGATCTTCAATAAAGTTTTTCTTTAAATTTCAAAGAGCAGTGTGCGTGTGTGGATGTGTGACGCCTTTGCTGTGTATTCCTTGTGTTTAGACCGTGATTCTCAGGTGGGTGATTACCTCTCTGGTTTCACCCTTGTGCAATGAAACAGCCCAGCTTGACTTTCACAGGGCAGATCAGGCAGTTAGGCAACATTTAGAAGTTCACGTGACTAGCTCTCTGCTTTCCCCCAGACTTAGAGACACTTTACCTGTGTGACAGCTGTACTCTGTCAGTAGTTGTTTTCAAGGCATGTATTAGAGAAACATGAGCTAATACTGTAGTATACAGCAAAAGCATTTGTAATGTGCAGTAGTTCTCTCCTTTGTTAGAGATATCAGAGTGGTTTGGACTTGGGTAATGATGACACTCTTAACAAAATGCAATAAGTAAGTTCAGGTGGCAAGAGCTGTGGCAGGACAAGAGGGAGAGAGTTCAGCTTTGAATATAATATGGTAGACTTTGCTTTGTTCATTTGAAGGAAACTTCCAGGTTGTATTTATAGTCTCCGAGCCTTTGTGGTCTCTGCTTACTTGTGCTCTGCTTTTTTATTTACCCTCTGTCACAAGTGTACTGATAGAGTTGGATTTTGAACAATTATGCATTGTTGCCTGAAAACTCTGTTACTGAATTTTACTTTGTGGGTGTGATACTTTACTGTGTATCCATGGTCCTTTGAACATGCGTATTACTTGGTTAGGTATACATATTTAAAGATTTGTTTGTTGGGCACATCTATGATAGTAGACTTTTTTTTTTTTAAAGATTTATTTATTTGAAAAGCAGAGCTAGATCTTCCATCTGCTACTGTTTCACTCCCCCGATAGCCAGAAGGGCCAGGGCTGGGCCATAAAGCCAGGAGCTTCATTCAGGTCTCCCATGTGGGTGCAGGGGCCAAAGGATTTCGGCTGCCTTCTGTTGTTTTCTCAGGTGCATCTGCAGGGAGTTGGATCAGAAATGGAGCAGCCAGGAATCGAACTGGAGCCCATATGGGATGCTGGTATTGGAGGCGGTGGCTTTACCCAGCATGCCACAATGCTGGTTGTTTTTTTGTTTTAGAATGCCTGAGTTTTCTTGGCCCTAGTAGATGCATTTTTATTAAGTAATGGTTGTAATCATTTTTAAAAAGTCTGTGTGAATAAATCTCAATTTGACAGCAAACAGTTTCCTTTAAGAGCAGCCACTTACTCTGATTTTAGAACCTTTTAAGAATACTTTGTTTTTCCTTTGAGGGAGAGCAAGTGCCTGTTGATTGACTCCAGATGTTCTCAAGGCTGGATGGAAGCCCAAAGCAAGAAATTTAATTCATATCTTTATGTGAGTGGCAAGAAACACCACTGCTTGACCCGTCAGTACTGTTTCCCAGGGTCTGCATTAGCAGAAAGCTAGAGTCAGGACTCAGAGCCAAGAACGAAACCCAGGTACGCACTCTAAATGCAGTGCTAAAGGGCCACCCCTCCATATTACTCTAAAAAATTAAGGACTCCAGAGAACTTTTGTTTAAATTTGTCGTGTATTTACTATTTGGGAACTGAGAACACACTTAAAACCTAAACCTCTTCGCCATCAAAATGATTGTCACACATCATGTCACCTCTGGAAAACACCATGTACTGTCATATTAGGTCAGATATGGGGCCCAACGCTGTGGCACAACAGATAAAGCTGCCACCTGCAGTCCCACCATCTCATATGGGTGTTGGTTTGAGACTCAGCTGCTCCTCTCTGGATCCAGCTCTCTGATGTGGCCTGGGAAAGCAGTAGAAGATGGCCCAAGTCCTTGGGCCCCTGCACCCACGTGGGAGACCATGAGGAGGCTCTTGGCTCCTGGCTTCGGATTGGCTCAACTCAGGCCATTGCAGTCATTTGGGGTGTGAACCAGCCGAGGGAGGGTTCTCCCTCTCCCTCTCCTCCCTCCCCCTCTGCCTCTCTCTAACTTTCAAATCTTTGTCAGTTAACTTTAACCTTTGCAGACTGCCTGGGCCACTCAGAATTCTTGTGGATTATAACAGTGATCCTAGAATTCTGTATCCAGAAATTCTAACATATTCACAATGCTATGAATCAAAGATTTTCATTAGCCCCACCCCCCATGACTTTTAAATGCAGTGTTGAGAGCATAGATGATAACTGAAGAAGTCAAGTCTTTCTTGGATACTAGATCTGCAGAGTATTTTTGAGTATACTTTGATTAGCGAATTTTTTTGTTTGGAAGACAGTGGCAGATCTTCATTGGTTCATTCCGCAAATGGCTGTAATGGCTGTTACGGCCCATGCTGAAGCCAGGAACCAGGAGCTCCGTGTAGGTCTACATGGGTGGTGGGAGCCCAAGTACTTGGGCCATCTTCACCTGCTTTCCCAGGTGCATTAACAGCTGGATTGGAAGTGGAGCAGCCAGGAATTGAGCACTCGATACATGAGGGTGGCATTGTCAGATATGGCTTAACCCATTGCCATGGTGCTGGCCAATACTACTTAATGGTTTATGGTTCATGTGTACCTTTGGGAGGGAACAGGTTCAAGTACTTGGGTTCTTGTCACCCACATTGGCAATAGACCCGGATGTAGTTGTCATCTTGTTTTGACCTGGTTCAGCTGTGGTTGTTGGGAGTAACTGGGAAGTGAACCAGTGGATAAAAGATTTCTACCTTTCAAATAATAACTGAAACAGATTTGTGAAGTTTAGGTGTTAGTTCTGTTATTAGGGATAGGATAGAATGGCTCTCTAGCTTTGTTTTTTAAAAGATTTTATTCACTTGAAAGGCAGAGAGATCTTTTTTTTTTTTTTTTTGAAGATTTATTTATTTATTTGAAAGAGTTACAGAGAGAGAGAGAGGTCTTCTGTATGATGGTTCACTCTCCAGATGGCCGCAATGGCTGAAGCTGTGCCGATCCGAAGCCAGGAACCAGGATCCTCCTCCAGGTCTCCCACGCGGGTGCAGGGTCCCAAGCACTTGGGCCACCCTCCACTGCTTTCCCAGGCCACAGCAGAGACCTGGATTGGAAGAGGAGCAGCCAGGACATGAAATAGCGCCCATGTTGGATGCCAGCACTGCAGACGGAGGCGTTACCCACTGCGCCACAGTGCCTGTTTAGCTTTGTTAGGACGTGTGTATCACGTATGACAGGATCAGTGTACCAACACTTAGTGCATTGGGCACTAGCAGTTTTAGAGTCCCCCATTCATCAGTAGTGATATTTTGCCTGGTTTTGAAATTAGTTCCTCAGGATGGGCATCCTCTGCTCCAGCTTGGCCCTTCCCCTCGGGCCTCACTGAGCACGGTGTTCTGCAGCTCTGACTGCCATTTGAGTTCGATTTGTGATAGCTGTTACCATTTCTGTAGTGTATTTCAAAAAGGAAGGTCACACAAGTTGAGTCACTTGCCCATGGTCAGTTAGCAAATGAAGTTGCAGAGCCAAGTTCAGGCAGCCTGTTCCCCAGCCTCACACATACCATCTGATCACACATGAAGTACTTTGTCTTTCCCATTGTCCTCTGTTGGGAACAGTTATTTAAGGACACAGCGCCCTGCTCTGCTGTTGCACTCCACCAGTGCTCACAACAGCCAGGGCTGGGCCACGCCAAAGGCCTGGGAATGCAATCCAGCTTTCCAAGGCTAGTGGCACAGATCTCAGATAATTGAGCCATCACCTGCTGCCTCCCAGGGTGCACATTATCTGGAAGTTAGAATAGGGAGTAGAGGCAACTCCATTAAGGTATGTGGGCATCTGATGTGACAACTGCTATGCCAGATACCTGTCCCCTGTGTGCCCCTTGTGTCAGGGAATACTGAATATTCTCTAATATTGAAAAGGCAAGTTGGAGAATTCTAATACAGTACGTGAAGACTTTATTTTCTAGTAGTGTACATACTGGAGAGGCAAGTCTCCTACTTGCTTGTTCATCCCACAAAGGCCAGGGCTGGGTGGAGGCTGGAGCTGGAGCTGGAAACATGAGTACTGGAGCCATTACTGCCGCCTCCCAGGGTCTGCATTAGACAAATGCAGGACTGTTGCTAACCCACAACACCAAGAAATGGAAGATAAACAGTGTCAGCTTCACGTGGACAGCAGGAGACGAGACTGGCCCGAAGTCAATCTGGACGATCGGGATACTGAAGTGTCTTGAGTACTTAGAGAAGACTGTTGTAAATTGGTAGTTCAGACCAGTCGTCTCGGTGCTGGATAGTAAGCAAAGATACTGAAAACATGCTTGGGGGCGTTGGAGAGCCAAGAAGATGGTGAAGATGGACGCCCAGCCAGCATGTGGGGGAGTACAACCCCAGGGGTGCCAGCCCATGGTTGGTGCTGCCTTTACCAGGGTCAGAGGGGAACTGGTGCTTTTTAGACAAACCACTTGGGCTAAAAGACATGATTGGAATTGGAAGCCTGCCAGAAAGTTAAGGCCCTTAAAACGTTACACCATAGGAATAAGGATGAACCAACTTGAGTTACTCCTTCAATTTTAAAAATATGATGTCCAGCAAATAGTAATAACCGTGTATGTGAGATACACTACATGCAGAGGGAAAGAGCACCTGGTTTGAGGTGATCAGATCTCGAATAACAGATGCCATAAGTCCTTTGGAAAAGTGGATCAGTCACTGGTGGTGTAAGACAATTGAAAATAACCGTGCTTACTGTATAGTCAGAGATACGAATTGAAATTGGGCATTAGGCAGCAAACTTAAAGCTTAAAAAAAAAGGAGTTCTAAAGCCAAAACAGGATAGGTAAAATCAGAACACAATAGGTTTAAGCAGATACAACTGAAGAAGTAAGTTGGAAGATAGGAAGAAATGTGCATGTTGAAACGGGAGACACAAAATCTTCCAAAAAGGTGGGAGAAGGGTGTGAGTGCAGTGACAAGCCTGATGGATGGCAGCTGTAAGATGATGTAGATGCAGAGAGGGAGAAGCAGTGGAGAATGGACCATGGTTGGGTCTGCTGGCAGCTTGGGAGAGCTGCGGAGGCTCAGGTATGAGGAAAGTGAACAAGTG